ATGTTCTCAGCCTCAGGGGAAGGCAATGGCAAACTTCCTCTGAAGAAACTGCCAAGAAAACCCTATGATACGGTTGCCATAAGTCAAAAAATGACTTGGAGGCACACAACAGGAACAACACACCCTAGGTTCAGTGCTGAACTGGCTGGATATTGTCTAGGGTGTTTGCAGCACAACTGGGCTGTATGTCATTTGGACCCTCCACAGAGAGGATGGGGGAGGACATTTTATTTGTCCCATGCAGACAGGGCCTCAGTTTGCACATTATTTCACAAGTGCAAAATTAAATATGTCCATCTCAAAATGCAAACATAATACAATCATAACAAATTTCTTCCCCTACTTTAATAATTAGTTTGATCATTGGTCTGTATTATAAAGTTTTGGTCATTGGACACAAAAGTTCAAGGGAGTTCAGAGTACAGAAATGCTGGGGATAGATGTAGAAAACTATGATCCCTTAAATCTTGGCTTAGCTTTGAAATACATATACACTGCTCTTGTGTTTCATTTCTATGTCAGTGTTCAGAATATGCATGCATACATGTGTTTCTTATGCCAAGTTTTCCACCAAAGACAAAGCTGGAGGATGTTTATAACATGTAACATTCCCCCAACAGATTGTGACTTTCAAAGGAATATACTCTTTGGCTGCAATCATGTATGGGTCAGCATAGTGTATTGTAAGTAGGTTCACATGTAGACTTAGGACGTTATCACAGGGGGAGTCGCGGGGAGAAAGTGGAAATAAACCGGACGAGCGGAAGATTTAATTTACAGGATTTGTCCTGTTCTGCCTCGCCTGATAACTAAATTCAAATTTAAAAGGGGGTTAATTTGGGATTTTTGAGAAAATGAAAAGAACAGGTTTTTGTTCGAATTAACCCCCTTTTAAATTCGAATTTAGCTATTTCCACTTTCTCCCTGCGATTCCCCGTGTGATAACGCCCTTAGGGCTAGACATATACTACTATCCCAATGCTGAAAAGCATATGAAAACCTATTATTATTATTATTATTATTATTATTAGTATTTATTCCCTGCTCTTCAGCTACAAAGGCTCTCAGAGTAGCTTACAAACGGTTCCACGCCCTCAGGCTTACAATCTAAAACCAAGATGCAAAAGGAGAAGGGAATGGCAGTGGGAAGAGGATCAGGTGCAGCAGTTCTTCTCTCCCTCTGAGGCCTGGACCATGGCAGATGGACTGGAGAAAGGGCTCTCCTTCTTAATTTAGGCTAGGCCCGATGGAGCTGGCCTGCCTGTCTGAAAAGGACTGTTGGTGGAAGACCATCAAGAAAACAGGCCATTCTGGTCTCCCTGGGAAGGGAGTACCAGAGTGTAGAGGTAGCCATGGAAAAGGCCCTCTCTCATGTCTCCACCAACCATGCTTGTGATGATGGTGGGATGGAGAGAAGGGCCCCTCTTGAGGATCTCAGAGCCCTGGCTGGCTCATAGAGGGAGATACGGTCTGCCAAATACCCTGGACCTGAGCCAAAAAGGGCTTTAAAGATTATCACTAGCACTTTGAATTGTGCCCAGAAACAAACTGGCAGCCAGTGGAGCTGTTTCAACAGGGGCGTTGTATGATCTCTGTAACCTGCCCCTGTTAGCAGCCTGGCTGCAGCTCTTTGGACCAGCTTAAGTTTCCGAACACTCTTCAAAGGCAGCCCCAAGTAGAGTGCATTACAGTAGTCCAAATAGGATGTAACCAAGGCATGTACCACTGAGGCCAGATCCAGCATCTCAAGAAATGGGCACAGTTGGCACACAAGTTTTAAATGTGCAAAAGCACTCCTGGTCACTGCAGAGACCTGGACCTCCAGGTTCAAAGTTGAATCCAGGAGTACTCCCAAACTGCGAACCTTTCACAGCAATCCATGTTTTATGGGGATCAGGCAGGATCACAGAAGTGTCTGGCTATGGGCCTGTACAGACTGCCAGAAATAATCTAGCTTGAGACCACTTTAACTGTCCTGGCTCAGTGTTAGGGAATCATGGGAACTGTAGCTTTTTCTGAGACATTGAGCCTTCTCTGTCAGAGAGCTTTGATGCCACAATAAACTATAGTTCCCATGATTCCCTAGCACTGAGCCAGGACAGTTAAAGTGGCCTCATGTTGGATTATTTCAGGCAGTCTGTACAGGCCCTATGCTTCTGTAGCCAGAAGTAAAATCAGTGCAGCAAGGCTGAAGCATCCAGAGGACCCTGACATATCTCACCACTAATGCCATCATTTCATGTCTGGCTACAGCAGGGGTAGGCAACCTGTCCCCTTTAAGGGCTGAGGGACTTCAGCTCCCAGAAGCCTCAGCCATGTTGGCCAATAGTCCCATGTTGGCCAATAGCTCCTGGGATTCTGGGAGCTGAAGTCCCTCGGCCCTTAAAGGGGAAAGGTTGCCTACCCCTGGGCTATAGGGACATAAGCAGATGCTCCTCCAATCTTACCTGCTCCCCATTAAACAAGGAATAACTTTGTGAGGGGCTTTGGGTGCTGCAGATGAAGGAAGGGAATATCAATATCCTCACTGACCAAAAAAAGGACGTACTTATGAGGGAAACATATGCATACATACAGTACACATATATATATCCCTAACAGGATGCCCAACCTCCAGTCGGGAGTAGATTCAGCCCCTTAAAATCTGGACAAAAACCTGGAATGGATTTACCACCTCACTGACATGGAAGCCACCAGCATCCATTGCCATTACCCACAGAGAAAACCTCCCTTCTCTTGTATTATCATTTCCCTTTACCAGTGGCACCCCCACCTGGGATGTCACCTGGTGTGGGGAGGTGGGACTTCCAGGGGTGGGGCTTCTGGGGGAAGAGCTTCTGGCGGGACTTTCAGGGGGGTCATGAAGAAAGCGGCCACACAGGCTGCGGAAACGGCCGGCCGCCACCCACCCAGACTGGAGATCCCACCCCCAAGGCCTGGAGAACCCCTGAGGCCTGTGAAAATGGTGGTGCAGCTGGAAAAACAACCGGCTGCTGCTCGCCCAGGCTAGAGACCCCCCAAGGAGTGACTGCAGGGGGCTGATCAGGTGTCACCCCCCTCTTCTGTGGCACCCCCCCTTCTGGGGTGTCACCCCAGAGATGCTATTGCACTTATAAGCCTATCAAAGTCTTGATGAGATCCCGAGCAACTAATGTATCTGTGACATTTGTCATTCACTGGAGAACAGTATCCAGGGTCTCAGAGATGACAGCACCCTAGGGGAACTAGAGCTCTCAAAGTTCACTCAAACTTTGTGGTCTCATCCAGATAACAACTAGGACCAGCAGTGAAGGATGGAGGCAGGGATGTATATACGGGGCCATTCCCCAAATCCACAGTTGTTATCTACTAATTCTGAAGCATCACTTCCTTTAGGGCCAAGAATTGGTGAATGAGGCCCCTAAATGGCTTTCCCTTGGCAGAGTACTTTGATAAGTACTTCATACTTACCTTAGTGCCTGCTTCTAAGGTCTGCCTGGTGGCACAGTGGTTAAATGCCTGTACTGCAGCCACTCACTCACAAACTACAAGGTTGTGAGTTCAATACCAGCCAGGGGCTCCAGGTCAACTCAGTTCTGCATCCTTCCATAGCTCACTAAAATGAGTACCCAGCTTGTTGGGGCAATTAGCTCACACATTGTAAACCACTCAGGGAGTGCTTAAGTGCACTGATAAGCGGTATAGAAATGTACTTGTTATTGCTATTGCTTCCCAAGAGAGGTTTGTCTGGACCCCTTTCTGCTCTCTTTTTGCTAGCAGGCACAGACCTTCTTATTTAAACAGGCCTCCACTTTTAACTGTGCTGTTTATAATAGCGTAGTAAGTGGTTTACATGCTTTTAATTGTTTTAAATTAACATCTTAAAGTACAGTTGGCCCTCTGTATCATGAGATTCTGCATCCACAGATTCAGCCATCCATGGCTTTAAAATAATCAAAAAAAGAAAAAATCCAAAAAGCAAACCTTGATTTTGCCATTTTATGTAAGGAACACCATTTTATGAGGGTTGGCATGGTGTAGTGGTATCAGCATTGGATTATGATTCTGAAGACCAGGGTTTGAATCCCAGCTTGGCCATGGATTCTCTGGCCTTAGGCAAGTCACACTCTGTCAACCTCAGAGGATGGCAATGGTAAACCCTCTCTGAAGAAACCTGCCAAGAAAACCCCTTAAGATCACCTTAAGATCTCCATAAGTTGGAAAAGGCTTGAAGGCACACAGTAACACCAACACCATTTTACTTCACCATTATATACAATGGGATGAGCATCTATGTATCCTGGAACCAAACCCCAACAGATACCAAGCGCCCACTATAATGTTTTGGTTAATGCTTGATTGGTTAATGCTTTTAAAAGCTTT